CTTTTCCATCTCGTTGAAAAATGGAATTGGTATTTGTATTGGGATTGCATTGAACATGTAAATTGCCTTTGGTTGTATTGTCATTTTCACAATATTGAGTCTTCCTATCCAAGAGCAAGCAAGGTACACACTTCCATTTTTCCAGGTCTCTTTTTGTTTCTTGTAGTAATGTTTTGTAATTTTCTTTGAATAGATCCTTTGTGTTTCTGATTAGATTTACTCCTAAGTATTTAATTTTGAGATTAGCTATTGTGATGGGTATTGTTTTTCTTAGCTCTAGTTCTGTATTTTCTTAGTCGCTGTAGATGACTCCACTGTAGAAAAATCCAATAGATTTTTGTACATTGATCTTGTTTCCTGCCACTTTGCTGAATTGGTCAACTATGTCCAATAGTTTTCTTGCTGAGTTGTTAGGGTTTTCTAAGTATCCTATCATGCCATCTGTATAGAGAGATAATTTTACCTCCTTTTTGCCAATTTGGATACCTTTTATTTTCTTCTTGTCTTATTGCTATTGCTAAGACTTCCAATACAATATTGAACAGGAGAGGTGATAGTGGGCATCTTTTCTTAGTTCTTATTCTCAAAGGGAATGCCTTTAATCTCTCTGCATTAAGAATAATGTTGGTTCTTGGGTTTGTGTATATACTTTTATCGTATTGAGGAAGTTCCCCTCTAATCCTATTTTGTTGAGTGTTTTAATCAGGAAAAGGTGTTGGATTTTGTCAAAGACATTTTCTGCATTAATTGATAGGATCACGTGGTTCTTGTTTTTTACTTTGTTAATACGATGAATTACACTGATTGTTTTTCTTATGTTGAACCATTCTTGCATTTCTGTTATGAATTCCACTTGGTCACGGTGAATTATATTTTTGATGTATCATTGTATTCTATTGACCAGGATTTTATTCAGGAATTTTGCATCTATGTTTATGAGAGATACTGGCATATAGTTTTCTATTTTAGTGGTATCCTTTTCTGGTTTTGGTATCAAGGATATGTTTGCTTCATAGAGTGAGTCTGGGAGCATTCCATCTTTTTCTATTTTTTGAAATAATTTATGTAGAATTGGTGACAATTCTTCTCTGAATGTTTGATAAAATTCACTTGTAAAACCATCTGGTCAGCACTTTTTTGGCCAGAAGTCATTTTATTACCTTTTCATTTTCTTCTTTTATAATGGCTCTGTGCAGGTGTTCAATTTTTGTTTGTGTCAGTTTAGGTAGGTTGTGATTTTCTAAGTATTTGTCCATTTCCTCTAGATTTTCATATTTTTTTGAGTACAGTTTTTCATATTATTCCATTGTTAGCTTTTTTATTTTAGTTGGTTCTGTTGTGATGGTGTCTGTTTCATCTCTATTTGAATTAATTGTGTCTTTTCCTTCTTTTCCTTTGTCAGTTTTGCTAGTGGTTTCTTGTTTTAATTGACATTTTCAAAGAACCAACTCCTAATTTTGTTGATGGTTTCGATTGTTTTCCTGTTATTATTTCATTTATTTCTACCTGAATGTTTATAATTTCTGGTTTTTTTAGATGGTGTCAGGTTTTCTTACTGTTCTATTTAAATTTGTTGGAGATGTTGGGTTAGGGTAAATGGTCATTTTTTTCCTGCCTTTTTTTATGTTTGCTTTTTGCTATAAAGTAACCTCTGATTATTGCTCTGGCTGTTTCTCAAAGGTTTTGGTTAAGTTGTGTTTTCATTGTCATTTGTTTCAAGAAACTTTTTAATTTCAGCTTTTATTTCTTCTAGTACCCATTCATATTCTAGCAAGGTGTTGTTCAACTTCTAATTGCCTGTTTTTTTCCTCCTTTATTATCTTATTATTAATTTCTAATTTTGTAGCATTGTGGTCTGAAAATATGTTCTTTTTTTACTTTTTTTCCCTTCAATTATATTTTATTAATTTTCATAAACATTTACAGAGATTTTGGGTTTCCATTCATTCACCGCTGCACCATTCTCTCTACCCTCCTCCCAGTTTGTTCTTGTCCAAATGCCACAGTGCTTGTCAAAGTCAGTTCTGATTAATCTTCTTTGTCAGTGTG